TACCACAGCAGCTAAATGCCAATGATGGTCAAAGCTGCCAGTCAAGGGAGCCTTTGGGAAAGCTTCTAAGGCCCGTTAGGAACCGGAACTCCTCCATGAGAAAGAGTTGAGGGACAGTGCAAAGACAGAGTTCCATTGCTACAGCCTGAGACAAGGGTGTGCAAGGGCCTCGTGGCTGAGGATGTACAGATGGTGGATGGAGGTGGGGTGACATGGGTAGGGGGTGAAGAAAGTAAACGGGGTGTAGCCTACCCAAGTAACCACCTCCCGAATGTTGTCATACACACCCGATCCTGGAAGGTTCTTGGCCTTTTCAGGGAGAAAGAGCTGCCCAAGGTGGGGTCTAATTTACCCTTGTAGCCCCAACCCCAGGGCAGCGATTGTCAGCAAACTCTGGTTCAATGATGAGATGGAAAGAACTCTTCTACGTATTTATTAAACCAAGGACCAGTCAGGGGCTGGGCTGGGCTGGGCTAGTGTGGCAAGACGGAGCTCACACTGCCTTGTGAGCATCTCTGGGGCCAGCCCCAGTGCCCACATGGTCACTGATAGCTGGCTTCTTCCCAACACCCCCAACGCATGCCCAGAACAGTCTTACAAAAGTGAACAAATACATTTATCTTCGTTTCCATCCCCGGCCAGCAGAGGTGGGGGTTAAAAGTGACAGTCCACTAAGAAAAGGCAATGACTCTCGTAAAATGAAGACAAAGGAGAGAATCCAGGGCTAGAGAGCTGAGATGCGACCCTGGGGGTAAGCATAATGTGCATGGGAAACTCTGTCTCTATGGGAAACCCTGTCTCTTTCTGCTGTACTCCTGGAGGATGAATGGGCCTCTGGCCCGTGGACACAAGTCCCCTTGGAGCTCATGGCCAGAAAGCCAAAATTGCATTGACTTCTTAGGAAGTATCATGAGACAGGGTCTCTGGGGAAAATGTGCACGCTTCCAGTCCTGATGCTAGGGGACCCCCACCCCACAATAAGAAACTGACAGGCTTGGGACTGACATGTCCCAAGCTTCCTGAGGCTCTGAAAGGTGGACTGACTTCGCTCATACCATGAGCTGGCCATTGGACCTAGAGTGCCACCTCTGTGACCTTGCTGTCGCTGCTGCTGGCCATAATGGGAACGAGCACAGACAACGGTCATAGGGCCAGGGGAGGGGATGGATGACAGACAGGGAAGTCCATGGCCCCCACCCTCAGCAGGAGGCTGGGCTCTTCACACCTCTCCACGATCTCAGGTGAGCACATCTGCTGCTCTTGGCCCTGTTCCCCGACTGTTCTCCAAGGAGGGTGGATTTGATTTTCTCTCTAAGTCCTTCTACAATTAAGAGTCTACCCAGGATTCCATGAGAAAAGGAAGAAGTAGGCCTCATAGAAGGTGTGCTTAGACACTGAGCTCAGAGGAGCCCCCAGCCAGAGGAGCTGAGTCAGCATTTGCAGAGCTGACCCCCACCCACCCACCCTGTCACACGGTGGGTCAGGGCAGGGCAGGCCAAAGGGAAGGAAGGCACTTATGGACAGCTGCGGCAGGGCTCAGGAAGGGACCAGAGTCTGGTTCGGCAGCCAAGTCCCTCTGCTCACAGTTCCGGGACGGGAGCCACTGAGACAAACGGGTAGATTCTGTTACTGGGTGCAGGCCCCAAGTACGAAAGCTATCCCTGGCCCACAGCTTTACTGAGATGCCGCCACATAGGCCTGTAGACTCCCCACAGGCATTGGCACATTAACATATAAGTTAGTTGGGACCTGAGCAAGCCCAGGACAGCAGTCTGTCAAGTGGCCCCAGGCCACACCATTTGTCACAAGATGTCTGGGCCTCTGGCAGCCAATCCCTGGGTGTCTCCACAGTGTAGGAGTACCTTAGGGCTGAAGCCAGGCTGCCGGGGGTAGGCACCCTCCCGCACCAGGCGCCGGCACTGCACATCTTGGCCTACGCTAACACTCTGTAAAGCTGGGAGGTGATGGAGCAGCATCTCAGGGAGGGGTACCAGGCTGGTACCCGACAGGTCTAGTTCCTGCAGCAAGCCCAGGCCTGAAAACACCTCGGCTCCTGCCCACTGGAGCTTGGGGTTGCCTGACAAGTCCAGGACCTGTAGGCCTGGGAGCTCACGGAAGCCATGGGGTGCTAACTGGGGGACACTCTGTAGGCTGGCCAGTGACAGGTGGGTGAGGCCCGCCAGCCCCATGAAGGCACCTGGGTGGATGGTAGCAAGAGGGTTCCCATCCAGGTTCAGGTAACGCAGGGGCAGGTCTCGGAGGTCGGGCACAGCATGGAGCCGGTTCCAGGCCAGATTCAGGCTCTGAATGGTAGGTGCAGGCAGGCTGGCCCGGGCTGGATGGGGGAGCAGGCGGTGGATGAGGTTGTGGGATAGGTCCACGTGCAGCGTCCGGCCCTGGCTGTGGGTGGAGAAGGCAGAGATGGAGACCTCCCGTAGTCGGTTATGGCTGAGGTTGACATCGCTCAGGGAGGAGCTGGAGAAAACCTCAGCTGGCAGGGCCGCCAGGCCGTTGTGGCTGAGGTCGAGCGACTCCAGGTAGCGCAGGCGGGAGAAGGCAGTGGGCGCGATGCTGGTGAGCAGATTGTGACTGAGGTCCAGGCCAGCCAGTGTGGTATAGCCTGGCCCGGCCAGCACCGACTCATTCACGGTCTCTAGCCGGTTGGAAGACAGGTCCAGGTGGGCTGTGTCCAGAGGGATGGGCACAGGCACAATGTGGGGGCCCAGGCTGCTGCAGTCCACTCGAGTCAGGCTGAAACTGTCAAAAAGGCCAAAAGTCTCTTCCTCACACTGGCATCCGGGAAAACATGGCCGAGTTGTCTGCACTCTGCCCATGGCCAGGAGCAGCAGGAACAGGGAGCCCAACATGGTGGCACCTGGAAAGAGAGCCACAGGTGAGGGGTGGATGCACCAGATACTCTTATCCTGCCCTACAAGACACAGCCCATGTGCAGGGACACAGCTGGGACTTGTCACAGCTTCTGGCCTCCTGGAACACGCCTAACGCCTAGTCCTTATTTTTTTTTTCCTGGCCTCCGTCTCCACATCTGTATGGTTAAGGGGGTTAGGCCAGGTGGGTGGACTTTCAACTGGGAGCATCAGATGCAAGCGGCCTGCTCTGGTTGAAGTGATGGTACCTGGACATCTAACTGTGAACCTGTTGGACCAGGTGGTCTCTTGGCTTGTGTTACTATATCTGCTGATCCAGGGCTCAGAGGCTGCTGGAGACCCAGGTATGCCAGAGAGAAGTTCACAGTGAGGGGGGGTCGAGTTGGGGGGCTTTTCATTCATCTTGGCTGAAAAGATGCCACAGGCTGGAAAAGATGCCACAGGCTGGGTGCTGGGTTGGCTGCCTCAGAGCATGGTCTTCTCTAACCCTCCCAACCATCTACAAGGCAGAGAGTCCTGTCTCCATCTGACAAGAGAGAACTGAGCCTTGAAGGGTTGGAGACAGGGAAGGATACAGCTAAGCATGGTGGTGCTAGGTGGAGTAGACACAGAGCCAGGATCCTTTGCTGCCAATGGCAGGGGCTGAACCCACTCTTCCTGCAGAGACTGCCCTTTCCCCTTCCACCTTGGCTGGCTCTGCAGTAGTAACTCCCATCTACTTGGAGACCCAGTGTCTGGATTCCCAGATATGCTTGGGGGACGCCCAGACCCTGATACTCTGCTCTCTTGCCTGTGCCCAGCTCCCAGCTAGCAGCTGGCTCACCTCTCCGCCCCCTCCCCCTTTAACCGTGACAGGCAGGGTGAGGGCTTATTACCCCACTGGGCAGAAGAAGAAACAGGCTCAGAGAGAACCAGGGCTGCACCACCACCAAACTAGCACAGAACAGGGCGGAATTAGACCCAGGCCTGCTCAGTTCTTCTGTCTCGATCTCCTGCCTCCAGAAGGCCTGGTGGGGAGCAGGGTGAATCCAGGAGGGGCTTTCCTTATAGACATATGCTACAGCTCAAGCCACCCACCCCGCGACCTCAGCTCCTTCTGTGAAATTACAAGCCGGGCGGTGGTGGCACAAGCCTTTAATCCCAGCACTCGGCAGGCAGAGGCAGGTGAATCTCTGTGAGTTCAAGGCCAGCCTGGTCTACAAAGTGAATTCCAGGACAGCCAGAGCTGTAACACAGAGAAATCCTGTCTTCAAAAAAACAAAAACAAAGCAAAACAAAAAACAAAAAACACACAACCCCCCCAAACAAAAACAAAGCAAAACAAAAAACAAAAAACACACAACCCCCCCCCCAAAAAGAAAGAGAAAAAAAGAAAGAAAGGAAAGAAAAAGAAATTACAACAGAAGCCATTGCATATTCCTGACACTATGTGCATGCTGTCACATCTAAGGGTTGCACAGGTCCACACGAGGCACAGTCAAGGTTTATGTTCACGTTTTTGAGGACCTCTAAGTGCCCCCCTCCCCTGCTAGGCTCTTCATTGGGTGGCCTGCCCTCCTGCCTGTCTCCCTTCCAGGGGCCTCCAGGGAAGAAAATAGGGTGAAGTGGGGGGTGGGGGTGGTGGGGACCTGCCCACTTTCTAGGCTGGGGTAGCAGACAGCTGGATAGCATTACCCGTCCTCCATGAAACTTTAAAGAGGCAGCCACTCGATCTGCACTCTGGCTCTGTCCTGGGCCAGGAAGAACCGGGGCTGGGCTCTTCTCCCCTACCCAACCCCGGGGCCCTTCTTGTCTACCCCTTTCTTTTGTAGAGAGAGACCAATTCAAGGATTAAACCCTCCCCAGGTGCATCCTGGGCTTGGACCCAGCCAAGGCAGGACAGAGCGTTCCAATGTTTGCACCAAGAGGAAAATATTAAGTTGCTCCGGGCCCCTTTGTTCCCCCAGGGAGCTCTTCAAGAGTTCATTACCACCACCCCTACCCCGGATCGCTCTTAGCCCCCGCCCCCAACCTGGGGGTTTAAACAAACACCACAAAGGGCCCCGAGATTACCCTTTGGTTCCCAGAGGTGATTATACAATGTGTCCACAAAATGCCAGGCTGCTTCTCCTGAACTCTAGCTTATGTAACCCGCCGGGCAAACACAGCACAGATGTTTCTCTCCTCTAGGTCCCAGCCCTGGACTCCCAACAGGGCAGCAATGTCTACCATCCCGACACAAGTCCACAAAAGCCCTGCACCCTGCATCTGTAGAGAGCTGAGCACATCCTTCCCCGGAGGATCTGGGATGATGCAGCAGTCCTCATGCTGAGATAAAGCAGACAGGTGGAGTCCCACCTGGGCAACGTGGCTGGTAAACGCACTAGGCCAGAGCCTTGCTCCGCTGTGCCACGGACACCTCCCAGGGCCCCTGCTGCCATACACAGGCCCCGGGGAACTCCAGTGGGAAAGAGGAAGGGACGGCCCGCCGCTCTCATATAGTCCTCGAGTTCGCCCAAGGAGACCAACTGTCCCATCCCTCGTTAAAGGATCTGAAGAGTCACTTGCTAACCTGTGTGATGTGGAGACGCCACAGGGAAGATGAGGGGGGGCCAGTCCTTGCAAGAGCTGCTCTAAGGACTGGAGATACAGGGGACACGCCCAGTATGGTCAAGTCACTGACAGAGCCACAGCGTGGGCTGCTGTGTCTCTCCAGGTTAGACGCTACACCAAGGGTCCCTCATCATGCTTCACCACACTCCAGGACGCTGATAAGAAAGCAACAGGGCAACTGTGTCGGGCGGGACAAGTCCCAGGGGAGTCAGGACCCCTAGATCTTCGTCACTGTTCCGCCCTGGACTGCTGTGATCACCAGTGCTTTCCTCTCTGGGAGCCTCTGTTTCCCATCTCCACAAGGAGGGGTTCAGTACCAACCCCAGAGCTGTAGGATTTTAAAGCTGAGCAAAGCATGGGGCTAAGCCTTGTCGGGGGGTGAGTGGACGAGACTGTAAGGCCCCCCCTTCTCATCCACAGCACACAGCACATTCACAGCAAACATCATCAGCATCTTGAACCCAGGAGGCTTAAGGTTTTGAGACTTTCACAGTTTCATTTCTAGGAGTTTGATTTCCTCATCTGTGCATTAATGTCGCCCAGCCCCTACTCTGGGAGAAAGTGCAGTGCAGACATCTGGGCAGTGCAGACATCTGGGCAGTGCAGACATCTGGGCAGTGCAGACATCCGGGCAATGCAGACAGGCAGCCACCAAGGATGTCCGGAGAGGAGAGAGATCTCCAGGTCAAGAGATCGTTTTTACAAACCTTGCCCTGCCGACGAAAGACATCCAAAGATCAACAGAACAAGGCAAGACACTTCCCACAGCTCTGGTTTGGAAGACAGCGGGTCCTGTGAGGCCAGCCACGAGCTATTTAGGGCCCACGACGTCAAGTCCACAGTGACTCCTGGCCTGTGAGGCCAAGCATGAATGGTGTGAATGCTATGGGCCAGGCAGCCCCAAGGGGCTCTTTCCACATCATGTCCCAAACCTGCCACGAGACAGAGCTGGCCCTATCACTGTCCTCGGGATTGTTTGGAAAACCACAGAGATCATCTTCTCCCAGACAGAAGGCCTCTGGAGGCTGGAAATGCCCCTCTTCCTTCTCTGTCCGAATCCCCGCAGGAAGTTGCTCTGGGTAGCAACTTCTCTCAGCAGCCCCCTGTCGTTCACACCGTCCACAAACACAGAGAATTCCAGGCTCGTGAGCTGCAGAGCCCTTGGAGACTATGGGTGACTGAAGCCCAGAGGGCCAGTAAAGGAAACGCGATGGCGGAGCAAGGCCCAGGAGCTGGGGACCCACCACCTCACACTGCTCCTTACATCACACACATCTATCCACCCGTCCCTGCCTGGCCAGTGGAACAAAGCAGTCTCTGTCCCCACAGGCTCCTACCACCCCTCCCACTTGGCCTCTCACACCTCAGGCTACCAATAGGCCTCCTTTAGAGGCTACTGAGAAAATTCAAATTTCAAACATAAAGTGTGAGCAGCTTGGGGACGGAGCGCCTCCTTCTTAACCTACGCATCCTTCCCTAACTGGGGTCAAAACCGGACCTGAGGGCAAGGAGGTAGCAACAGAGACCCAGCAAGAAGCTATGTGGGTCGGCTATTAGACCTAGGACCTGCCTGGAATCCAGGCCTGCCTACTGGAGTCTCGGAGTCCTCCAGAGGGACAAGAAGTGATGGCCGTGGAAAATGTAGAGATGGTGTATTCTGCTCAGTCTCTGGTGGCTAACTACGGCCAGGGTTTTCTAAACTTCCTGGAGGTGGTGACTTAGCCTTCACATCCCTTTCCACTTAGGTTCCTATACGTAGAGCCAGGCGCCCAGCAGGTCCATGGTTCACACTGACCTCTCAGACACACTGCTGGTGACTGCTGCTGAGGCCCCTGGCCACCCTCCTCTTCTGTGGACACCTGTCTGGGATTAGAGGCTGGAGTCCACACTCCCCCTGGGCCTGCTTGCCAGGCCCTGGTACCACGCCATAGCACTTCTGACATATAAAACTTTCTAGCTTTTGCTGACAACTTCAACATGGAACCTCTGGCCCAGGAGCTAAGTGGGATGGGGGATAGCTGCGGGTTGGTCCAGTGCCCAGCACCCACCGAGGATGGGCTTTTTATTAGCCAGCTGCTCCTCAACCCTCAGTGGCCTTGCACCTCACTGCCCTTAGTCAGGAGCATACTGAGGACAACGAAATCCACAGGGAGACATTCCATAAGCATCCTGCCCTCCAACCACTTAGCTCTGGAAATTAGAATCAGAATTTTGGGGACACACTCAGAGCCTCCAGGGCTGGCTTTCTCTCCAGAATCGATATTGCAAGCACATCAGCTCCCCGCATGTGTCATTACTGCCCTCACGACAGTCCTTAACTGTGGTGATTATCATCCCTGCTGCACAGGCAAACAGCAGCATGCTATTCAGTCAGGCCATAGAGGAACCGGACCCAGGCATGTTAGCGCCAAACCCACACTTGGCCTCAACTTAGAAACCGGCAGTGTGGACAGGTGCTCAGAGCTGGTAATGCGGGGCTGTAATGACATGTTTACCTGTCTGTCCTCTATGGGTAGTAACAGGGGAGTTATGGTTTGTTTGTTTGGGTTTTTTTTATTTCTTTCTCCCTGGATCAAGTATATTAAGATATACCAGGTATTGGCTGGGCATGGTGGCGCACGCCTTTAATCTTGTCACTCGAAAGACAGAGGCAGGAGGATCTCTGTGAGTTCGAGGCCAGCCTGGTTCACATAGTGAGTTCCACAGCAGCTGGGGCTATACAGTTTAAGACCCTGTTTCAAAACAAAGACGCCAATCAACCAAACAAAAAGTCTAAACAATCTATCAGTCACACAGATGGTGGCGCTGTCACCAAAGGACACCTCAGTCTGTCCACATGCATGCTCAGCTATTTATGTCTGGTCGCCCTGGAAGTTAGATGGTATTGCACTTGTCTTCTGGCTGTCTAAAGAGTCTAGAGAGGTTCAATGATTTGTCCAGAGTCACATGGCCAGTGAGGAGACAAAGGCTGGACCCGGGTATTCTGAACCTAGCAACTGGCCTCCTTCATGGCATCTTTGGTACAGGTGGGGCCTGGAACTTCAGTACCCTCCCACCGAAGGAGCATCATCTACAGGGATATGGAAGAGCCTCAAATGCTATCTTCTCCTTCCAGTTGGTCTTTGGGAAAACTGTCAAACTCCCACCAATCTCAAACAGCACAGGAGAACACAGGGAGAGCCTGCATGGGGCAGAAAAAAGGTTTTGCAGACCAGGCACCAACCTTACAGGCTTGCATTGACTCTGAGAACCGAGTCTGGTCTTGTAACACGTAGAGAAGCTTGGTGCTGCTCCCAGCCGGCCCTGCTCTGACTACTTACAGGAAGCAAGGACTCAGCCCGCCGGCACCAGCGGATCTCAGCGCATGTTCAGTCCTGTCTCTGTGGGTGACTGCAGGGTCACAGAAGGGATGCTAAGACACACAGGATGCAGAGCCCAAAAGCCGTCCTTGGAGGCCTTGGAATCTCTCAGTGTCCCACCCAGGGCCCTGACCAAGTTCCCCTGGGATCTGGGAAGTTCACAAAGGCCAGAGGAGGCTGAGGCAGTGGTGACACCTGTGGCCGTGTCAGGGAATCTGGCATCAAAACAGCAGTCACTCCTAGGCAAGCGGGTCTCTGTCTCCTCGCCTGGGTCCAACTCAGGAGACCTCTGTAGCCACCTGGCCTCTGGCCTCCATCTCTAAACACTTCCAAAGCTCTAAACAACCGCCATGCTGGGCACCAGAGTACAGACAGCTTCCAACTAAAGGTCAAGAGTCCACCACTGCGCCCCATCTAAAACCCATTCCACAAAAACAGCCTCTCAGGCTAGACACCTGCCACTCCCCAGGGACCTCTGCCTTTGCATAGGGCTATTTCTGTTGACAAAGATGGCAACCCCCGCCGCCGCCCCCCCGCCCCCCCTGCCGCCCCTTTGTCTTCCACAAACTCTCACTTGTCTGACTCAAAAGCTACCTGTTCTGTGAGGCCTTCCCAGCCTAACCTGGCCTTCATCCCCCAAAGAGTCACTGGGCTGTGGCTGTCTAAGAATGTGTCCAGCTCTAGCGTGGATACTAGCATGGGGTGCAGGGGACCCAGAGGAGTAAAATGTCAGGGGCAGAGAGGCCTCCCTCTGCTTTGGTGCATCCTGGAACTCAGAGCTTGGCTTAGTGATAAAACCAGGTTTATGACTGGGGTCCATGCTATTTCTGCCTCCACTGTGTTCACACAATGTAATCAGACACCCTGAAAAGACATCTCAGTTTATTAGCGCATACAGTAATCTGTGATGTTATTTAACATTCACAACACATCCATCGGTAACTCCACCTGAAGGTGGCTAGGCATCAGACAGGCGCATTGACACATCCCAGGTGACAGAGGTAGGCACCCATGGAGCAAGAGCACAGCTCCCAGACTTTCTGACAGGAAGGCATGCAGCATCTTGTCTTCAGATAGGTCTCCCAGACTCCAGCACCATCCAAACGCCAGAGGAAGGCTTTAGACTGACCACCACCACCCTTTCCTCCAGCAGCTCTCTGCACACAGGCTCAAACTCCGGCTCAAACTGATGCTCAGTGATTCAGCCTCTTCCTCCCCTCCCAGCCCCCGAGTAACTTATTCCTCAAAACCCAAACGTGCACCCCGACACAAAGACAAACCACCTGCACACTGTTTCCAGGACACACAGAGCCCTGCATGTATTGTGGGAGGCCCTTCCTGGCTGCGCTGTGCATTGGAAAACGTCAAAACCCTAGGCGGAATCATCTACTCTGCCAGGTCCCTCCCATGGTCCCTCCTATGGAACCTGTCTTAGAACTTGTTTTGGCAGGGGACTTCCAGGGTGGGCCCAGCCCTCTTCAGGAAGTATCCCCAATTCCTAGGCTCGGTGCCCTGAGAAAGGATGGTGAACTCAATAAAGGACACCGCTTCTGCTTTGTGCCAGAAGTAATGATTAAGACTGCTGGTCTGGACTCTGTCTCTTGACCAGTCTGTCATGTACAAGATAAGTAACATCAGCTTTTGCCTTTACACGGGTCAGTGGAACAGGGTGGGTGGAAGCCGAGTTCCCCAGGATGGAGCATTCCAGCCTTCTTGTCCTAGGAACAAATTAATGCCTGGGAACACAATAGTTTCCAGGCTCTGGGGTCACAAGGGAGTAATCACAAGGAAATTTACACTCCCCTTTCAAAAGGAATGACTAGGACTAGACATTAAAAGTGGCCATCCTTGCCTCTTTCCCAAGTTTGTGGCCAGCTTATCTCCTCCCACCCCCATCTCGCGACCCTCCCTCCGTAGTATTGGGCAAAGTTCTTGGTTAAAGATTGGGGTGGAGGGCTGGAAAAGAAATGTTTGGTTTATCTTTGCCACCCAGGATCAAAAGCCCAGGCAGGATGGAACCCCTCCCATTCTGGGGGCTTTGCAAGTCTAGACTTATCCGAAAGGATAGCATGGAGCAAGGAAGGATCTAAGTTTGAGTCACCCCTGGGCCTGGCCAAGTGTGGGCGGCGCTGCTCTCAGCTAAGCTCCGGACGCTGGTTACCACCACTGTGCGCTCCGCTCCCGCAGCGACGAGGAATTCTCACCCCATCCGTAAGTGACCGAATCTTAAGCGGGATGAGCAATGCGCCCTGTGTGTCCCGTTGGAAACAAGTGTA